AGCGGCTACGCAATTGGACTTGGAGAGGGCTTCCAATATTCGATCTATTGATGACTGGACATCTATTAGAAATCAAGGTGACTAATTTATTGGGGGAGCCCTACCGTTACACTCCCATTCAATTATTATAAAGTTAATTATTAATATATAGTCTCCCTATGAGCTGCTAACCACCTTTGAGACTATATTTCCGAGCTAGTCATTTTCCTCTATCAAAACAATTAGTATCTAAAAGATCGACATCCATCGATCTGAGATCGATTACGAATGTCCGCTAATTTAGCTCATGATCGTCATATGCTAACAATCTCCTGATAATGAAACTAACTAAAAGTATCTAATCGCTCGAAGGCCAGTTAGCATAGAAAATGTCGAGGAGTTCTAATAGTAAATATCCTATTATGTTCAATATGTTAAACCTTTGGGGGGTTCCATCATTTCTCAATAAGTCTTGTTGCTTTCATGAATGTAATAATTAAGGAAGATTGACCGCTCCAATTAATCAGAATTTGACCTGTTATTTCTCTTAATTGCAACTATGATTCCGGAGCCTTGACAAGGCTCTATTACTCCTGAATCTTAGAATTTAGGATACGCTCCCCTTACATTGGGACCAACAACTAAAGTTGTTCTATTTATGAATTTATTCGAGAAATCGGCCGAAGGGCGAATTCGCCTTTGGCTGAACTCTACGCAATTTGAGATAAATTTGACAAGAGGAATACTTGAAATCGGTTTAAGCCGTCCTACATTTTTTGTAGTATGATGAATTAACTGATGTCTATAGTTGCTTACCTGATCACGCAGTCGCTCAAGGTGGTGATGTAATAAAGTGATAAGACTTAATTAAGTGGTTTGTTACCCCTACCACAACCACGACACGATTAGTTCTCTAAAGAATTTTTGAATTCTCCTCTGACTAACGAGCTAAAGGATTCGATCGTACGATTATCAACTAATGAAGTGTAATAACTAATATGCATTGTAGAAGAAAAGCTTAGCAGAGTCCGAAGTGTGCGGCGGAGGCCGCTCCAGGTGGCCCAAACGTAGTGCGTGGCGAGGAATATCGTAGTAGCCTTTCAGAGATCATATATAACGGCTAGAGTAGCCATAGATCACCTAGATATTTAGCTTACCGTGACACTTTTCAAATTCATTTCCGAGTTTGAAGCGGCTTCGCGACTTCAGTCACATTTCTACGGGTGAGTTGCAATGCAACTGTGAAGGCTTTATTCGTTATTATTTGTTTCATCAACTTACTAGAATGCTACTAGATCTTATAACTACTGTTCTAATCTCTCTGTTGACAGTCAATCAACTAAGCACGATCTGAAGCTAATAGAAGGTTATTTATGTTTGCAATTATTATACATTAGATTAAATAAAACCTTTTAAGAAGCAATCCGCGGCGGATGCCGCTCCAAGATCACCCTAGAGTCAGGCACCAATCTCTTGATATAGCCAAAGACCCTTTCTCAATCACCAATAAAGACGGATGGGGGCATCTTAGAGATGCTCTAATGAAAACTGAAGCAATCATAGATAGACTTAACTATTTTGACCTACTAATCTTATTATGATAAATCATGGAACCACTTTATGTTTGAATTCAGGCAATTACTAATCATCCGGTACGACAATTCTTAGGATCTATTAGCCATTCAGTAGACCCCTCTTATCGATTTGAGGATCTATTAGTCCTAACTAAATCGGTCGATTAAAGCAAAAGCATCAGATGTAGTGAATAAAATACTTTGATAGGTTTATTTGAAGATATGGTAATTATAATAGACTATTATTAAATCTTTTAGGGAGCCTCATTTAATTTAGATGAAATAAGCTAATGCCTTTCAAAGCTCTTACTAAATAATTAAAAGTCTATTCTTAGCTGTTTAACGTATTCCAAATGTATACATCGTAGCGTAGATTTTGGAGATGACTATAATTTAGGAAGATATCAACTTGTTGAGGGCCCTTAACTGATCGCGTAAGCCACTAAAATGTAGGAACAACTTCGTAATTGTGATAAATTATGTATTCAAACTAAACAGATGTTAATTGAACTACATGTTGTAGGCTGTTACTCAAATATTGTAGTCTCCTCATGTATTTAGATTATGCTAACTAATGAATTTGAAGTGGTTACACGATTCATTTTTTAATTCTCATTTTAATATAGCATCTATAATATTATGTTTTATATTGTATTAATATGATCTAATAAGATAGTTATAAGTATAACAAATAGTTTTTGCCTTTTATAATACTTTGCAGTTCTAAATAGATGTACTAGATAAAGATTAATTATAACACATTTAAAAAATATAGACAGTCGATCGTTAAGGTTGTTATCTCAATCTAAGCTAAAGTATTGTAAATGCATCGACATATGTAGGTTAAGTACATCGTAAATGCTTTAGATAATAGATACCATCAATTGGATTGAGGTCAGGCCCTAATCAGAATCAATGATTATGAAGTATATGGTGGATCTATTGAGAATGTACACTCACGCGTCTTGCTGGTTTTATAATAAGTTAGTTATGCCAGCAAAGGTAAAAGATTTCACAAACTTTGCCAAAGAGAATGCTCTGGTTTATTTCCTAAATTTGGTAAGGAGTTGGCCTGTGGAAACGGTGATTCAATAAAATAAGCAAGCATTGATTGTTCCTAATTAATAATAGCATTTACGTAACAAGTTGGGCCATCTTATATGTAGATCAGCTGAAGGATTATCGTCATTGATTTGCTATTATTGACCCATTAATCGGTAATTGGATGGATCTCATATTGGTACCTCTTTTGTTATTGATTAATTATTGGTTTTTATTTACCAGATTGACCGCGTAGGCGGGCAATCGCCCCTCCGGGCCGATTGTAGTGGTTTACATAATTAGAGGTTATCGTGATTGACTGAAGTTGAGGTGTGAAGTAAGTTTTCCTACTGATTGTAGTGTGTAGAAAGCATAGTGATAGAGCCTAGGACCATTTCAGATAACCAAATCGATTGACTAATTGCTAAAAAGGCGTTACAGAACCTGCAACACGATGGTTGGTTTACATGCAGCGCATCAAAGCGCCACGGTCATGTTGGAAGCTCTCCATATTTGGACTTAAAGGTGCTACAATAGACCATACACTAAGCTTCGGATCATACAAATAGTCTTATCGGTAGAATACTATAGCTTTATTTGATTATGTCGGAAGTGCCCGTCAACTCAATGATCGCATTAACGATTATTTCCAAGATGCATATTTGTCAAGAACTAATTAGGTAATAATCAGAGCTTTAGTAAAACATGGTCATCAAAACTTCACTTTACTTATTATGGAATTAGTGACACCCTCTAAACTTTTAACGATAGAGCATAAATATTTAGATACAGGCTTATTCGATTATAATACAGCAAAAACAGCTGGGAATACTACTTGAGTAACACATAGTGAAGAGACAAGGGCACTAATAAGCAAGAGAAGGACTGGAATAAAAATGAGTGAGGAAGTTAAAGCTAAAATGAGCAAAGACCGTATGGGGCTGGTAATAACTTTTTTGGTAAAACTCATTCAGATCCAATAGGTCCATCAAGACCCTGAGGGGTTTTAATAATCTATGGTTTACGAACAAGAGGGATATTAGTAAAAAAGATAGTTAAACGACGACGAGTTATCCCACTATCATTAATTGTGAAATACTGATTACTTGTCGTCACTACTAATCCCTCGAATCGGAAATGTCCTTGAGCTTGGACTCCTTTCAATTCCATTCGAAGGGGATCTCTACCAGTAATAGCTTTAAGTACAGCAATACCCCGTTTATTAATACTAGACAATTCATCTCCCTACAATCTCGTATCTGCTTAATTGATCTGGGAGGTAACCCATCTTGGATTTATTGATACTGCTGTAATTTATGTGCGAATCAATGGCCATTCCACCCCTACTTTACATTTTCTGATCTTGTAACGATACTAGCTATTTTAGTTTCCTTACTATCTATTAAATTTTACTATGAATATTCCTACTAATCAATCAGACCAAGAGATAAGCTATGGGTCCTCAACGCGTAGCTCGCGCATGCGACGGACCCTATACAGGTTATAGATTTTGATGTAAAGATTTAGGCAAACTCGAATAATTGCTGAGGTTCGATAACAAATATTTGAATGGTACTCCTTCAGGAATATCTGATTGCTTCAATAAAGGATAAGTTCATAATAGTTGAGGTATTTATCCTGTCAATATAGATGCAGGATAGAAATAAAGGGGGTGGTTACAATAGAAAGATAATAATACTTTGGTAACATACAGATCTATGCAACAACTATTACTATAAAGAAAATCCCATGGAGGATCTAAACCTTAAGTACAACTAAAGTTACTAACCAACTCTTAATTAGTTTAGTTGTAATTTTAATGGATTGGTACTATTTAAGAGGCATTCGAAGAATGCTAAGATATGATATAATCCACCCTTTGTTCTTATTATATTGAGTTTAACAATTAGTGCTATTCTCCAAGTACATGATCCGTAATTGCCCAACCTGTGGTTGGTGTTATGAGCCTAAACAGTGTGTAGCACGAATTAATCATCATGTAAGCTTTTTGTGTAGCGTCCATCCAATAAAGGATTTTTAATTGATGATTGGGAGCGACTCCGTCGCGGTTGCTATGTAATCTTATTAATTTAAAGCAATTGCCTGAGTATTTGGTATTCAAGGATCTGCTGAGAATATATCCAGTTGTTTCCTGTTGGGTTCTATCTTATTGGACTTAATCTATTTACTCTAGAACCAACCTTTGGTTGGTTGTATTCAATTCTCTTTTATACTTAGACTAAATCTATGTGCAATGATTATTGGTTCAGTACCATCAAATCTAGTATGTCCACTTGGTTTCTACCATTAATTTTACCTATCCTATAATAGAAACCACCAAATATAGCAAAGAGTATAAGGAAATCGAATCTAATTTATCAACTAAATAGCACCGGAGGTGCGATTGGATGTAGCTCAATGGTAGAGCATCTGACTTTTAATCAGGTGGTTGTGAGTTCAAGTCTCACCATCGGCAAATTCTGCTTATTCACCAACTAAGTTGGTTGTTTTAGGGGTGACATCACCTTTCTGACCGCTATATGAAACCTATAGAATGTAACTGATGGCTTTATTTAGGTTCTAACTATCGAGGTTCCGGTCCCCGGCTCGTAGAGCCCTGAACCGGAGCGACCGGCCCCCCTCCGGGGGCCTATGTCGCGGCCACGATGGAAAAAGTAAAAGTTTTTATCATGCTAGGAGCAAATTAACCAGCGAAGCTGGGTTTTATCAAGTAAGAAGGGGGTGGCATTCGAAGAATGCTAAGATATTGTATAATGATGGACTTACGTTAGAGGTAATACACAAAGTTCATAGTGAAGGTTCTAGGAACCTCGAACGGACGGCGCGTGAGCTCGCGTTCAGCGACGTCCTTACAGAATCGTAAAGATTGGCTTTTGAATATGAAGAATAAATAAGTAAGAAGTCTAAAGACCTAAGTAAAGTATATAATGTAGCGTACTAAGTGCATAATGCAAAGGGTGTGACATAATTGGAAGTTTGTGGAACCCACTTAATGAAACACCTTAAGGCTAGACTCAAATTATTAAAGGCTCCGGAGAAGCTGCGGGCAGTATCGGTGTATAGAAGCGACTGATAGTCGCCTCCCCGCCTACGCGGTGATTCTATTTTGGTTCTGAAAGGTTTTTAGATTTGAATTGATTTATCTGTTTCTTTCAAGGTTGTGATTTGAGTTAATTTTTTCTATTTGCACTAATGGAGGGTATTCCCTTATGAAACTTTGCAGGATCGATCAAAATTGGTTACTGAGCAGCGGTCGCGACTAGCCTCCACCCGGGACCCCCGTACGGGGTCCCGGGGCCTTAAAGGCCTCGCAGGTGCGACGTCGCCTCAGAAGCTCTTCTGAGGCCCGGTGCTTGAAGCACCGGCGGCC